ATATGATCAACTATGTGGTTTATACTTCGTAATTGGTTGAGCTTACCTGGAAGAGTTTGTCTTCTGACGTATGCCAGGAGCATATGACGGCAAGATTACCAGCATGTCACAGACGCTCAGCAGTTGCACTCATAAATGGTTGTCTCTACCTTATAAGCTTTTACACTATCAACACTGTCAACCCCCTATAGACAAAACGCACCTTTTTGAGTTACAATAAAATCTAAGCTTAAAATTTTGAGCTTGGGTTATTTGACATTTCAACTTTAAGTTCGCGTATCTAGAAATGCCCAGTTATTCTTACTTTTGTTGCGCTGTTTTCTGGGACTCGTCAAGTTTTAATCAGAGGCAGTTGAGTTCTGTAAAACAATTGGTTACGAAGCCGCAATCAAGACGTGTACAATACAAAACAGTGGGTGGTAGATCGAAGTTTTTGTAATGATTTTGTGATTTTACTTGAGCAATACACAGCAGCCGAAATACGCAGAAAATTCCTTATACTATGTCGTTCAAGGTTATCAGGACAAAACAGCTAACGGTCTTGAACGAACTTTACATTTTCACCGTCTCATGGCAGTGACGATTTTTAGGTATTACCTGAACATTCAGTTACAACTGTCACCGTTCCAAACAGTTCCGATGTGGCCACATCCAATGGTGGGAAATGGACGACAAAGTAAAAACAAGTAAAATGAATAAAAAAGTAACAAACAGTGCCTACTCGGCTGATAAGTCATTGGTAGACTTCTATTTTGAGTCACAGAAGAAACCACTAGATTCCCAAAGTAGAGCTGGATTTAACCGTGGAGTGGCTGGTCAAAGCTTGATCTTATCGAATATTGTTGTAGGTGGTTTGCTGTAATCAAACGACCCTTATTCAAAAAATAGACACGCTCATGACTTGAAGAAGTCTGGAATATCGATTTGTAGCATCTTACCAGATAACCCTACAGTTCTCGTTAGGAGTTTTGTATGCAAATGCTCGTACTTTAGGAAATAAATAAATAATGTATTGATACGTATCCGGTAAACAAAATCGCCCTGCTATGAGACTTTGATTAAGAAAGTTTGTGCAACGAATTGAAGACGTTGCGTCGATAATGTTTCAGAGCGAGTCGGTGATCCGTATCTATAGAAGTATCACATAGTAAAGCTTCCCTACCTGTTTCTCTCTGCATTATTCGAATTTTCAGCACTATCGAAAATAACCCGTGCTGCCTTCTTTTTGAAGCTGGGCGAGTTTAAAGATGTCAATTGATTATAAACCGTTTAAGGCGTCTGCTTCCACATTGTTAACTCCAGAAATGTGTTATATATTTGAAGTTGGCTGCAAAATGTGGTTTAGTTGTCAAGACTCTCGAAGGGGTACTTGTCCAAAGAAGATCTGAGAGAGCGAGAGGTTTAAGGTCGGTGGATAGGGTGAATTTTCAGCCTTCTACAGAGTGTTGGAAGTGTTGTACATTACAAGATTTTCCTACCGAACGTGATATACCTCTATTCCAAATATTCAGAGCGTCTCGAGAAGAATGCTAAAGGTTGTCAGTTAATGTTTACCTATAGTTGTTAGACTCCCCCAATCTCAGAGTCGGATGCGTCTACTGCGATATTGATGGGTGCTTTGACTTCCCAGTATGCGTACATAGTTGCTTTCGCGATAGTTCCTTTGACTGTGGAAAGCTTTTTTCCCGCGATGTCGTTCAAATTGATAAGTTTCGCATTTCCACAAATTTGATTGGTTAAAGGTCTCATAGGAGACGCCCAATTTGATATGAACCGCCAATAAAAATTTACTAGTCCGTTGAACGTACGTAACTGCCGTACTGTGGTCTCTTTTGAGCGGTCCAGAATGGCAGTCAATTAACATTTCAGAGGGCGGATACCTTGAGCATCAGTAGTATGTCCGAGAAAATTTAGGGAGTCTGTTCCGATTTAACATTTTTAAATGTTTACAGTAGTGTCTTGTTTTCGCAGGCATTCAAAATCCAGGTTCAGATGCTGGACATGAGATTCTCTGTCCGGACATGAGATCAAGCAGTCATCTTCATATGCATGTACTTTGTTGTGGTCTCTGAGTAAGTCACTGATGTATCCCTGGAAAGTTTGTGCAGCACCTATTCAACTAAACGGCACGTGAAAAAGTTCATAGAGCTCCAAAAGGGTGGTGATAGCAATTTTAGGGATGCCTCGTGAAGCTATGCGAATTCTTTTATATGTTTAATCAGGGCGATTTTTGAAAAAGCAATGATACTATTTAAGGTAGCTGTCAAGTCGTGAATGTACGGCAACGGGTAACGGTCGGCGGTTGTTTTCGTATTCTGCCGCTGATAATCGCCAGTTGGATGCCAACCATTGCTGTTGTTTTAAGGGGTAATGTTTAAGCTAGATGTTCATAAGTCTTTCGATGGCTGGGATAATTCTCGAATCGATCATGTACTCGAATTCGTTTTCTGCCAACCTTAGTCTTATAGGAGCTAGACGGCACGCTTTCTAAAATACAGGTGGCCCTGTCGTTGTGATGTGATATGTGACAGTGCTGGTTACGCTTCGTAATGAACGCAGTCAGTCCATGGAGTTGTTTGGAAATGATTCGAGAACCGTCAGCACCTTTTAGGTAGGCTTACACAAGAAGAGATGTCTGAACAGGCTCACGTAAAAGGTTCGTTGACCAATAGTCTTTTGCGTATGTTGCAACATTCCTCTGCTGAGCTGTGTTGTAAGCCGATGTTGTGGAAGGACTGATCTAATCTTTGTAGGTTGGCCAGACCACTGCGTTTAAGGTTAACCTCCTTTGAAAGCCATAAAGTTCAGAGAAACAATTAGAAAATATACTAGGTGTGACGTACCTGCTAAAATTGCGCGGTAACGCTTTCCCTACTGCGAGAAAGGTTGTCAGTTAATGTTTACCTATAGTTGTTAGACTCCCCCAATCTCAGAGTCGGATGCGTCTACTGCGATACTGATGGGTGCTTTGACTTCCCAGTATGCGTACATAGTTGCTTTCGCGATAGTTCCTTTGACTGTGGAAAACTTTTTCCCCGCGATGTCGTTCAAATTGATAAGTTTCGCATTTCCACAAATTTGATTGGTTAAAGGTCTCATAGGAGACGCCCAATTTGATATGAACCGCCAATAAAAATTTACTAGTCCGTTGAACGTACGTAACTGCCGTACTGTGGTCTCTTTTGAGCGGTCCAGAATGGCAGTCAATTAACATTTCAGAGGGCGGATACCTTGAGCATCAGTAGTATGTCCGAGAAAATTTAGGGAGTCTGTTCCGATTTAACATTTTTAAATGTTTACAGTAGTGTCTTGTTTTCGCAGGCATTCAAAATCCAGGTTCAGATGCTGGACATGAGATTCTCTGTCCGGACATGAGATCAAGCAGTCATCTTCATATGCATGTACTTTGTTGTGGTCTCTGAGTAAGTCACTGATGTATCCCTGGAAAGTTTGTGCAGCACCTATTCAACTAAACGGCACGTGAAAAAGTTCATAGAGCTCCAAAAGGGTGGTGATAGCAATTTTAGGGATGCCTCGTGAAGCTATGCGAATTCTTTTATATGTTTAATCAGGGCGATTTTTGAAAAAGCAATGATACTATTTAAGGTAGCTGTCAAGTCGTGAATGTACGGCAACGGGTAACGGTCGGCGGTTGTTTTCGTATTCTGCCGCTGATAATCGCCAGTTGGATGCCAACCATTGCTGTTGTTTTAAGGGGTAATGTTTAAGCTAGATGTTCATAAGTCTTTCGATGGCTGGGATAATTCTCGAATCGATCATGTACTCGAATTCGTTTTCTGCCAACCTTAGTCTTATAGGAGCTAGACGGCACGCTTTCTAAAATACAGGTGGCCCTGTCGTTGTGATGTGATATGTGACAGTGCTGGTTACGCTTCGTAATGAACGCAGTCAGTCATGGAGTTGTTTGGAAATGATTCGAGAACCGTCAGCACCTTTTAGGTAGGCTTACACAAGAAGAGATGTCTGAACAGGCTCACGTAAAAGGTTCGTTGACCAATAGTCTTTTGCGTATGTTGCAACATTCCTCTGCTGAGCTGTGTTGTAAGCCGATGTTGTGGAAGGACTGATCTAATCTTTGTAGGTTGGCCAGACCACTGCGTTTAAGGTTAACCTCCTTTGAAAGCCATAAAGTTCAGAGAAACAATTAGAAAATATACTAGGTGTGACGTACCTGCTAAAATTGCGCGGTAACGCTTTCTCTACTGCGAGAAACTATGAACGTGCGTTTGTCACGCCGCGCTCATAGAAGTCAGCTCCTGCGTAGGAGAACAGAGCTTCAATATCATCAGGCCAGAATAGAATGAGTTCAAAGGTGGTAGGCGTAAGTGTCCTAATCTCCAACAGCTTGGGTGTCTGCAGTGTCATCATGAGGATAAAATAAATAAATGGGCCGAAACATCCTAGGAATACGAAAGTAATATCAGATATGTTAAACGAAGAAAATAGAACTGAGACATAGTGTTACAACTAGGAGCAGACTAATAGTTAATTGTTTGGTGTATTAGATCATGTTGGAATCATAATTGAAGATGACACATATCTTCATTGTTTGATACTGTCTCTGTTCGTAACACTTTCATGAACAAAGTACTGGTCAGAACTAATCAGATCAGAAGTCAGAAATGAAGGGGTTTGAGATATATTTGGAAAGTTATCGATATATCGTGAAGCATTTGGTCTAGGCTGGCTGGCAGTTGCAGAGGGTGCGTAGTACAACGTACCCACTTGCGATCTTGGTGCGGATGCGTGATAAAGCGCCTTCGGCTAGGCTGTGCCTAGTAAAACTAGTGAGGTCAGCATCGATGTCGGAGATTTACAAAACTGTTTCTTTTGAGGACTTATTCACCGCTACACTTTTATTAACTAGTCTTTGTCCATAAGGTTCTGGGGCACTATAGCAACATTCATATCTCCATTTAGCCAACAAAACCCTTCTATAAACAAACTTGATCACAAGCAAATATTTTACAAGTTTCGCCAAGCAAAATTCGAAAAAGGATATTCACTTTTGCACATTGAAAATATCCAGTTGTTACTATGCTAATATCACAAAACAAACAACTTTTTACCTCTTCTGGGAAACTTTTGAGTTTATAAATAGTAAATATCCGACTTTAGTTGACATTAGTCATAATACATAACTGTTATCAATAAGGAACGCGAAGGTTTTGAACAATTTAGGCGGCCGGTCGAATGGTCCGGTGTATATGTTAGTCTCCATTCGTAATGATTTTATGATACCTAGTGGTTCTACCTGTGAAATAAGATGTGATGTCAGATAGAGGTCTTGAACTGCGAATCTGGAAAAATAAGTGTAAGTTATCAAACCACGGCTCACTATTGTGTAGTGTACAATTTGCAGCGTGAAGCTCCTTCTCCACATGTTATACCCTGCAATCGAGTTTTAAGTCATTGCCCACCCCAGTATGGTGTTGAATATCATGGCCCAATATCGCGTCAGGAAACCGACGAGCTACTTTCTAATGCAGATGATGGTTCTTACCTTATTAGAGATAGTCAACGTGCCGAAAACGCCTATACGTTGGTCATTTGGTTCGACAAAGTGGCGAAAAACTTCAAGTTGTATTTTGATCCCTTAACCAAGCAGCACTTTGTTGGAGAAACCAAATTTGACACCGTAGAACTCCTTGTCGCGGATGGCCTTATTCATTTTTATGTGGAAACACGTGGAGCAGATGTTCTCAAAAAAATCGCAGAAGCCAACATTTATCAAAAGACGCCGTTTTATAAGGTATGTTGTCTCTTATCCAAACCTTTGAGCAGGTAATTGTAAATCTGTACTACGTAAATATACACTACGTATGCTTAACCTACGCCCAACCGAAGGTATCATACTGGCTGGTATAATAGGTTAGCAAGTGTTTAATTTCGGTTAGACTAGAAAAAAGCACGTCTGCAAAGTACGTCATAAACTTCCAAGGTTTCAGGAAATCACCTAAAAGTCTTCTGGCTCACCCTCCTGCGTTTCGTAAGGTTAAGGTGTTGCCTCTGTATATCTAGTACTCACATTTGTTTTCATCACTTATCTCACAGCTTACCTTTTGAATATGATTTGATCCTCTTTACCTACCAACGCCTGACTGTAACATCCTCCATAGTATTCATTGTTTGGTGTTACTAATGTAACTCATACAGTAAAAGCTTATGTACTTGGCCTTTAGTTATACTTTGTAAGAACTAGTACTACCCAATTGCTTAAAACAAAGTAGAAGAAGTAGGCTTCAAACCTACCATCTGATGCGGAAATACAAGTATTTTTAGTCACCAGTCCACCGCTCGTCGTGGTCATATCTAGGACAGACAATGGAGTGATTCACATTTGGAACCGTTAGCTGTTGATCTACACTAAAATCTACTGTTGGGGTGCCTGAGATCCTGGTAGTCAGGTGCCGGCTATAAGAAAAAGTTCAATCTTTCTTTTTCAATTCCCTTCTGATGATTTTCACCACTACCTGTTGGTTTTGCAAACTTTTTCGAAAGATATTGTATTGCAACTAATGTTCTAAATACTTGTCAGAGGCTATTACATCATTTAGATACATTTCACAGTGCATATGAGATAATATACTCGCTGGTATGTAAGGAAATCTTGGCATCTATTCAGAAAGCCCGGTAGGCTTTTGCAAACCTGGACCTTTTGTAACGTGGACAAAATATCCGCCTTCCAGCTAAAGGACGAGTATACTGTTTAGCAGTTCACTCCGTTCTATTTTATGGCTGTGAAATATGGCCCTTAACATCAAATATATTCGTAGGTTACTAATATTTGGTCAGAGATATCTTCGAAGTATCCCTCGCGGGTGTTGAGTCCATTGAGTTCGCAATTCTAAGGCTAGATTCAACTTACCAAATTTTGGTTGCAAATCGATTGGTGAGATGATAGGTCTTCATTAATTGAGATGGTTAAAACATGTATTACTCATCCCCATCCGTTGTCTACCTCGATGGGTGATAATGGGTAGTGTAAGATTAGGCTGGAAGAAATCCAAGGGTGGCCAAACCAAAGTTTGGGGTTAGTTCATGAAAATACTGACTATTGAACTGAGCAATGTAGGTAGGTACGAACTGCCTGGTCGGGGTCCGCGTAATTATCTCATCTAATGGTTAGAGACTTTGGGTGACATGGCCTAAAGTCGTCCGCAATGGCTCAGATTCATTCACTCTTTATCTTTCCTTAGATTCGAATTTTTTAAATCCCTCATATTTATTTTTATTGTTGTTAGTATTACTCTAATAATCTGTATTTTATTCTCGACTCATATTTTTTGTGCCTAATCGTTTCTACCACCAATACTGTTACTAACTCTATTAAGGGCTTAGCCCCGACAATTTCATTTCGCTGTGCTAATAGGGTATGGTGACTTGAAACAGTGTATACATGTACCAGGTTATACGTTGCGTATGACTGACTGATTTGCACGTTCTTACCTTCATCTCAGCAAAATAGTTTTCGTTACCTTTAGTGTCAATTTATCTTTAGAGGGATTATGTGAACCGATTCTATCAAGACCGGTCCATTATGGATAATTGAAATAAATTGAAACCCTCAGTCAATAATGTTGGCATTTATTCTAGAGATTTATTTTAAAGTAAGCTTCATCTCGCTGTATAAATTTATTGAAGAAATTATAGCGTTATTATCTTTCTCCCTTTTCATTTTAGGTTCGTTATCACACTTTCAACTCTCAGGCAGTAGAAGCATGTCTTAGTATAAAGTCCTCTGAAAACAAAGTGATGAATAACGAACGTCCTCTCCCTTCTCCGTTAAAACACCTCCAAGCTTCTCAACGCTATGCAAACACTTCTAAACAGTTGTCGTGTCGTCGTCAGTCTATGGATGCAAGTCATCTTGATAGCCGTTCCAAATATCACTCTGTCGTTTTTGCGAAACCACTTATTCGTGACTGGCCTGATGATAAAAATGGGTTCAAAGATTATCGGAATTATCCCCCTCTGGCTGTTCAACAGTCTAATGTTTGTAGCCCAATACAACAACAAACAGAACCAAAAACTACCACCCCTACTTTTGAAGTCGGTTTTTCTCATCTGAGGTTGGGATCACAAGTAGATACGCATGAAGTTGTGAGCAGCACACAGTCTTTCTCTGGAGTCACTTCATCTAACATAACACAAGTTAGTGTGTATGATGTTTTAAATACTCCTATACATACTTCTGAATATGGACATCGTGCCTCTCAAATGTCGTCTTTGCTCTCCAACCCATTCAAGTCAATCGGTCATCTGGTGATTGATTTCGTGGATTCTTTTTATTGAGTTCTACTCATGTGTATTGTATGAAGCGAATCGAACAATATCTCAAACTATAAGTATTTCAGTCTTATAAAAAACATAGGAGACGTTTTTGGCTCGAAGTACAGTATCTTCCTTTTAAGATGTCGGCTGCAATGCGTTATCTACTTTCGGGCCTTTCTGGAAACATTATTTGGTGGACGTAGCTACACCCAACTGCTAAATCATGTATCTTAATGGTCTTTATCACCATTTATAGCCTTACCTAATAGTTGTTTAGCACCCAAGATATTTTTATGTGGCTAACGTCTAACTTTTCATATGTAGTTTTCTGTCGTACCTCTAGTTATATTTTCAGTCTCCAGAAGAAATAAGCCTTCACGATGTCGAAAACCATAGGGTGTAAATTGCTTACGCTTCCACTAGCACTCAAAAGAAATTAAAGATAAGTTCTGTTTGGAATCTAATCAGCGTAGAACCTAGCACAAATGCATACCAGCTTGGGTTGTCACACCGCATTTAAAAAGCGAGATGGTATTAACGTTATTAACAGCAAATGCATTAGAATAATAGTAGTATCAAGAATGTTAAAATTTACACTATGAATTGCGATTTAAAAAGGATTGTCCAACCCCTAAAATCCTTCATATTCATATGTAATAAATGGAACAAAGAAAAAGTTACGGACCATAGGTTACAGTAGTTAGTATTGAGACTACCTTTAGAAACCCACCCCACTATGAACCTAATAAATGGCGATAAATTTGTAATCCACCCAAACCAGTCAGCAGGAACGGTAGACGGAACACCGAATAAGTTAGCCATCATCTACCAATACTCTTCAGGCGATTAATATAGTTTCAAGGAATCTAAAGTGTGGCTGATGTAAATGGATTAGGACATAAGAAGGGGACTACTGGCTTTTGAGGATCAAGGGCGATATCCATCAATCAAGCAATGGGAATTATGATTGAGGGTAGTTTCTTTAGATACAGTTCCTGCTGACTTATCTTAATCACTGATTGTTGTGTCATAATGGGGGATGTGAGTCTTAGTTTCAGAACAAGTCTGTGGTATACTTTCCCAAGTCATAGCGTCAGTGTGTGAAATAATTGGCCTCTTTTGAGCCATTTACGAAAGTAAAAACCTCATGTATAGGGTCCTTGTAATAGCCATAATCGTTGGTTGATGATTTAATGGCAAGTTTTAAGATCAAAAACAATACTGTTGCATTCATTATTTTTTAAAAGTCACGAATATAGTTTAATTGCTTAATTTCAACTTCCTGTCTTATTTGTATTGCCTAAATTGTTGATCTCTGGTATTATTATCATAAATTAAAGATCATATCCATCTAAAAACATTTTGCAGAAGAGCATAAATCATGTAACTTTTATTTCAAACTCCATTCTATCTTCAGTTTAAGTATCAGAAAACTACCCCTAATCCATATACACAAAAGTGGCCCAAAGTCAAGTACACAAGCCTGTTCTTGGCAGATAAATGGATTTCGACAGAATTGTAGGAACAGTTTTCACCTTACATGAATACTCATCTTGTGTTACTTCTATGTCGTTATATTTTCATTTTGTCATACTCCTAATCTTTGTGACCATTATTTGCTAACTTTTTTAGGCTTCCAGTCATCGTACAGTAACAGCAACTAACTGTCCAACCGTTGTTAAAACTATTTCTTCAGGTGACCAATGTCCCTCAGTTAATTCAGTTTTAATTCAAGCACCTCTTGCCACTTGTTTTTCTGGGGAATCAAGCAGTTTGAGTTCTTGTACAAATAGTAGTTCTAGCAGCCACATGGGTCTTCTACCGAGTGCTCAGTCATATGAGTTGGAATCTGAATTTTCTTCAGAATCACTTGGTCCAAGACATGTTTCATTTAGTGGTAATCTATCTGACCATTATTTTTCAAACGGGATTTCATTTCAAAGTTCCAAACTTAATGGGAGTACGTCAACTTCTCCAAAACAACAGCTAAATGATTTATCCTTTACAGATTCTGACTGTGCACAAAATGATGCTATGCGCAATCTTCAGGAGCGATATAACTTGCCTATGGCTTGTTTACCTGATCCATGTACCTTCATTTCAAATGTCAAACCACATAATTTTAGGATTCATACTTATCGTGGACCTCATTGGTGCGATTACTGTACTCATTTTATATGGGGGCTTGTTGCTCAGGGCATGAAATGTATAGATTGTGGATTTCAGGTACGCTACTTTTTAATCTAACATGGATAACTTCCAAGGTAAATAGGGTGTTCTTGTTTGACAAGACGAAACCATATTATCTGATATACCAATGGAGTTGTAAATAAGACATCTGATTGCTGTCATTTCAGTAGTTGAATTAAATAACTGGAAATCAGGTACTTCATACATTACCTATTGTTAAATTTAGCCTATTGTAATCATATAAGTTCATTTATTTCGCGGATTCTCTTAATCTGTTTACAAGCTAGAAACAACCATTTAAAAAAAGCTATGCACATACTTTGTGATAAAAGTCATGACTAAAATTAATGTCACTTGTAGGTGTAAATTAATAATTAGACAATGACTGAGGTAAATCTAGGAATCTGTTCAACCAGTTGTTTAGTTATAATTTATATATATGAGTATTCTGTAGGAGGAAACTGGGAAGAGCATGGAGACACAATTTTTAGAGGCGGAACGCTAATATCATAGTTTGTTACCTATGGCAAAGACGAGATATCCGTCTATCAATTAAGGAACGAGTATACTGCACAGCAGTTCGCTCTGTTCTACTTTACGGTTGTGAAACATGGCCATTAAGAGTAGAAAATACTCGTAAGGTACTAGTATTTGGCCACAAATGCCTTAGAAATATTGCTCGCATTTGCTGGGATCACCGGGTAAGTGATAGTGAGGTTAGACACAGGGTATCAGGGAATGATGGTAAATCAGTTGATGAGGTCATGAATCTTCATCGATTGAGATGGTTGGGACACGTGTTACGTATGCCTGAACACCGATTACCACGACGCGCTATGCTGACTAGTACAGGGGATAGTTGGAAGAGAGTTCGGGGCGGCCAAACCAAACATGGCATCAGAGCTTGAAGTCACTAACTTATATTCTGAGCCATGTTGGTAGATGCAGACTACTTGGTTGGGGTCCACGCAACTATTGTACCCAATGGTTGGAGACTCTAGGTGACATGGCTCAGAATCGATCACAATGGCATAGGTGTATACACTCTTCATCTTCCCTTAAACCTTGAGACTAAAATTGCTTCATATCTGTCTTCTTTCCTATACTATATCCTTATATAAACCTTTTTTTTATCTATTACCACCACTAAATTAACTTCTATGAATCTGGTGTTCATCCTGTTGTGCTAACGAGGGATGACAACTTACTTACTTACTTACTTACGCCTGTTACCCCTCGTCGAGGAGCATAGGCCGCTCACCAGCATTCTCCATCCAACTCTGTCCTGAGCCTTCCTTTCCAGTTCTTTCCAGTTGCTATTCATCCTTTTCATATCGGCTTCTATTTCCCGGCGTAGTGTGTTCTTTGGCCTTCCTCTTTTCCGCTTCCCTTCCGGATTCCAAGTTAGGGATTGAGTCGCGATGCACATTGGTGATTTCCTTAATGTATGTCCGGTCCACTTCCAACGTCTTTTCCTTATTTCCTCTTCAGCTGGAAGCTGGTTTGTCCTCTCCCATAAAACGCTGTTGCTGATAGTATCCGGCCAATGGATGTTGAGTATTTTGCGTAGACAACTGTTTATAAATACTTGTACCTTCCTGATGATGGCCGTAGTAGTTCTCCAAGTTTCAGCTCCATACAGTAGGACTGTCTTGACGTTCGTATTAAAGATTCTGACCTTGAAATTGGTTGAGAGTTGTTTTGAGTTCCATATGTTCTGCAATTGTAGAAATGCTGCCCTTGCTTTGCCAATCCTTGCCTTTACATCTGCATCCGATCCTCCTTGTTTATCAACGATGCTCCCCAGGTACTTGAATGTTTCCACCTCTTCCAGAGTTTCGCCATCAAGTGTGATTGGGTCGGTGTTCTCCGTGTTGCATTTGAGAATCTTGCTTTTTCCTTTGTGAATGTTTAGACCTATCGATGCGGAGGCTGCTGCTACATTTGCTGTCTTCATCTGCATTTGGTCGTGTGTATGAGAGAGGAGGGCTAGGTCATCTGCGAAGTCCAAATCATCTAATTGATTCTGAGAAGTCCATTGTATTCCGTATTTCCCTTCAGATGTCGAATTCGTCATAATCCAGTCAATCACTAGAAGGAAGAGAAATGGGGAGAGTAGACAGCCTTGTCTGACTCCGGTCCTTACTGGAAATGCATCTGTCAGCTGTCCTCCATGCACCACTTTGCACTGTAGTTCATCGTATGAGTTTTGGATAATGTTGACGATCTTCTGAGGAACTCCATAGTGTCGGAAAAGTTTCCACAATGTTCTCCTATCCACGCTGTCAAACGCCTTCTCATAGTCGATGAAGTTGACGTAAAGTGATGAGTTCCACTCAACTGATTGTTCAACGATGATCCGTAGTGTCGCAATCTGGTCTGTGCACGACCGATCCTTACGGAATCCAGCCTGATGATCCCTAAGTTCGGCGTCTACTGCGTCTTTCATCCGATTCAGCAGCACTCTGTTAAAAACTTTTCCTGGTACTGATAACAAACTGATGCCTCTGTAGTTCTCACATTTGCTCAGATCTCCTTTCTTTGGTATATTGATGAGATATCCTTCTTTCCAGTCCGTTGGCACTTGTTCCTCTTCCCAAATCTTTTTGAATAGAAGGTGAAGCATGTTTGCAGTTATTTCAATGTCTGACTTCAGTGCTTCTGCTGGTATATTGTCAGGTCCTGCCGCCTTCCCACTTTTGATTTGTCTGATGACCATCTTGACTTCTTCGATCGTTGGTGGAGTGACATCTATTGGAAGGTCAGTGTGGGCTGCTTCGATGTTCGGTGGATTCGATGGGGCTGGTCTATTCAGCAGTTCCTCAAAGTATTCTGTCCATCTTTTCCTCTGTTCCTGAATCTCAGTGATTGTCTTTCCTTCTTTGTCTTTGACTGGTCTCTCTGGTTTGCTATATCTCCCTGCCAATTTCTTCGTTGTATCATATAGTTGTTTCATATTCCCTTCTCTTGCAGCTTTTTCCGCCGCCGTTGCTAGTTCTCCCATGTATTTCTGCTTGTCGGCTTTAATGCTTTTCTTCACTTCTCTGTTTGCTTCTGCGTAGTCTGCTTGTGCTTTGACTTTCTCTGCTCGTGTTCGGCTGTTGTTAATTGCTAGTTTCTTGTTCTTCCTTTCTTGAATTTTGTCCAGGGTTCCCAGAGAGATCCATTCCTTGTGATGAGGCTTCTTAGGACCAAGAACCTCCTGACACGTTGAAGTTAGTGCTTCTTTTATCCCTTTCCAGTTGTCCTCCAAAGTAGTTTCTTGTTCTTTCAGTAGATCCTGTAGAGCTTGGAACCTGTTGTTGAGAGTTATCTTGAATTCATGGAGTTTGTCAATATCTCGAAGGAAGGCTGTATTAAACCTTTGTAGTGCTGTTTGTCCAGTTGTCCAGTCTTTCTTTAGCTTCAGTCTCATCTTGGCCACAACCAGGTGGTGATCTGAAGCTATGTCAGCTCCTCTCCGGGTTCTCACATCTTCCATTGATCTTCGGAATTTTTTGTTGATGCAGATGTGATCTATCTGGTTCTCTGTGGTGTGGTCCGGTGAGATCCATGTAGCTGTGTGTATGCGTTTGTGTGGGAATATTGTGCCGCCTATAACCAATTTGTTGAAAGCACATAGGTTTGCAAGTCTCTCCCCATTTCCATTTCTCTCTCCTAGTCCATGTCGTCCAATTACATCTTCATATCCTGTGTTGTCCACTCCAACTTTAGCATTTAGATCTCCCATAAGGATGGTGAGGTCCTTTCGTGAGCACTTTGCTATAATTGATTGCAGCCTTTCATAGAACTGATCTTTATCATCGTCGTTGCTATCATTGGTGGGTGCATAACATTGGATAACATTCATTGTGATCCCTTGCTTCTTTGTTCTGAATGATGCTTTGATTATCCTGGGTCCATGAGATTCCCATCCCACAAGTGCATTTCGTGCTTCTTTGGACAGCATTAGAGCAACTCCCTGAGTGTGTGGCGCATTTTCCCCTTCGTGACCGGAGTACAGCAGCATCTCTCCTGTACCTAGCCTTTGTTGTCCAGTTTGTGTCCAATGGGTTTCGCTGATTCCGAGTACTGCCAAGTTGTATCTCCTCATTTCCATTGCTATTTGGCTGGTCTTTCCTGTTTCCCACATTGTCCGGACGTTCCATGTACCTATAAAGAGAGTGAGTAAAACTTACATAAGAAATCATAGATTAAAACTGTCATAGAAAATGAATTGCGTAACAAATGCCTATAATCAATATTACCGAACTAAAACAAAATTGATCGGGTCTTTAGGTCAAAGGCTCCAAGTGTGCCCCCCTCCTATGAAAACCACCTGCTTCGATTTGGGCACCCGAGCAGTATCACAGCCCTCACACAAATTAAATGAGATTTGTGTGGCGCATATATATATATATATATATATATATATATATATGGTGCCCTTTTGTACCAATATCTATGTGTTTAATTAAATTAAATAACTGAAAGAGTTCATCTGGTTGTACATTTCAGTTTCCCCCATCATTACTCTTATTTTTTTATATGCATCTTACCCCTTTTCTCTTCCCATTCTCATTGTTTTGTGTGGTGTATATATATCTTGTGCCCCCTTGTACCAATTTTCATGTGTTTAAATAAATAAAATAAATTCTAGACCCTAAAAGTACAGACGGCGTACGAACGTGTTTTGTCTACCGGCTGTCATAAAACTATATCCAGATGTCGTTTCACTGTCCTGTAGATTAGACCTCTAGGTCAAAGTCTCGAAGAGTGAGATCCTAAGAAACTCACCTGCTTTGGCTTTGGCTATTGGATAGTATTCCAGCCCTCACAAATATGATGATAACTTTGATGAAACTATTTGAAAAATCTTTTTTATACCCACTGTTCCATCAAAACGTAGTCAATTTAAAGTTCTCTGCTATTGATTACCTCAAAGGACTTTAAATTGTCGACATTGTTCCCACTGTTAAGCAAAAGAAGAGCAGTTGGATTAGTTCATCAGTTGAGATGACTGGAACACGTGTTACGTATGCCCAACCACCGACTGCACTGACGTGAAATGTTTTATGGTGTAGGAGTAGATTGGAAGAAAGCTAGGGGCGGCCAGACCAAAATGTGGCACAAATCCATGAAGTCACTGACAGTTGGACTGAGCCATGCTGGTAGGTGTAGACTATCTGGTTGGGATTCGCGAGATGATAGCAATCGATGGTTAGAGACTTTGAATGACATGGCTCAAAATCGTTTGCAATGGCGAAGGTGCATCCACTCTTCGTGTTCTGCCACATTCTCATCTTCTGAATTCTTCATGTCTCTATCTTTTTTATCTTTCCAAATTTATTTCACTGGATTATACTCCTTCAATAACATCTTCAAACCCTAATCTTTCACATTAATGCTTATACTATTTCTACTTCTACCACTATGGGATTTGAATCGACAACTGGATCTCTGTGCTAATGTGGTATGGCAACTCGAACTGATGTACGTACGTACGAAGTTCCACGTTGTGACCAACTGACTGAGTTGGATTACTAAAAATACGTCATTTTTGTTGCAGCTTTTGTTACGTAAAGCATATGCATCGTTTTATTTCTAAAATAACTTTGATACTGTTGTTTTTTTGGTTATAATCATCTGAAGAGATGCCGTGAAATAAACGAATTCTTGTTATTCCACTACATTCTTTGGTCGTAAATTAAATTGTTATTTTATTTGGGTGTGGGCTTTTATAACGGTTCCCACTTTTAACTACGACTTGATTTGGACCATTTAGTTCTCATACTAGTTACTTTACTAACATATCACTGCGTTGGAATCTAGTGACAGTTATTAGTTTCATCTGATTTGTTTTGCTTCGCTTTAGTTTATAACGCTTAAAGTAACGTAGGGGCATAGTTTTTCTGAGTCTCCGTTTCTATTTCGATGCCAATTAGACTACACTTCAAATAAAGTCACAGGTCTCCATTCGTTACCACTGCTCATATTAAGTGTTTAGAGTATTCGAACACCTATCTATCGATCAAGTCGTGCCTGTCACTCATTTCACAGGTTGATCATATATACCTGGTTTGAGATTAGTTGGAAACTTCAGAATCTCAGCAATAAGGGTTTAATTTAATTGAAAATCTGATTATTTATCTAATACTAATGACCTGTACATTCTTGTTTTTGGGATATATACTAAAATGCACTAACGCTTTGAGCTTAGGATGATAAATAGATATGATGACTTTCGGCTAATTATGATTAAAAAAATAGACTACTGAAAGGAAAGTGCATATTTTGTAAGGTAGCAGAAGTCTTAGCTACAGTGTAAATGAATGTTCAAGTTTACCAGTGAAATTTGTTGAAGTCTATTCTGTCGTTTTCAGTAGACGTGCACTCAAGAAACAATAATCACCTGCCTACAAATTCATTGCGAAATCTAAGTAAAGTTAACACTACTAAATACATATAAATATTAAACATTTAGAGTAAATCAGAAAGATTAGTCAATAAAAGCAATTTAAAAGAGCAAATTCATCTAGTTTACTTACTAACTTTAATTTTATCAGTAGGATATTTAGCATTTTTAAAAAGTTGTTTATGTTCATTGTTTTTTTATATTCCTACAGTTCATTTTTCAGTCATTTAATTTAGTTTTTCGCTTCATATATTCGCATTTATTCACAGTTGATCTATTCTCTATTTTTCATAAGGCTCATAAACGATGTGCTGATCTTGTACCATGTGACTGTGTACCAGATATTAAACAAATGAAACGAGTGTTCGGTGTGGACTTGACTAATTTGGCGAGAGCTGAAAACAAGTAAGTTTTCAGTTTGTTTGTGCTACTCAAAAATGAATTTTCACAGTTAAGAGAAACTGAATTTTTCTCAGTTATTAAACTAAAAAGTAATTTATACCACTTCAATAATCGTATTCCATGTGTTTGTGTTACGGACTGAAGTATTAATTGAAGGACTGCTACTTACAATTCAGTGGCTCAGTCGTTAAGGCATTCTACTCTTAATCACTGATTTCTAGATTCGAGCTCTGTTTCTCCAACTTCGGTTTGAGCAGCCGGATGATCTAAAGTGGACCTCAAAACCAAGCAAATAAATCTGATCTTTGTAAACATATCTCATCTTGTGAAACCGACTGATCAATTGCACTCTAGCACGTTGGTTGAGAGAGTTCTGACGAAAGATCTAAAACGTTTATTCGAAATAAGAATCAAGAAAAATTTTAGAGAATCAGAAAGCGTGCTAACAGACTAAGACGTCTCCCATTAACGATATACCAAACAATTTCTACCAGAATAAAGTGTTCGAAACCTGATACGTTCGTGCTCTATACCAACATTTTGTAACTCTGACTTCAATATAGTGAACAAGACTACTATCCTCTTCTTCCTTGTCCAGATAACTAGAGTAAGGTAAACAAATTTATTTGCGAAAGGTTTGTTGATGATGGCTCCAACATAGTCGAAAATACTTTTGAGTTAATGATAGATTAATTACAATGATTAAAGTATATAATTTTGGTATTTGTCACTTAATATAAATCATGGTAAAAATGTATTTAAAGACTATGGACGGAGTCTACACTGAATAATTTTATGGAAATTCATCATATTAATTTTCTTTCTCATGGGTTACATTTGAGGGTTGCACATTCACAATAAACTTAAATTGGGCGTAAGATGAAGAGGCAAACAAAACCAGAGAATCTTGTAGCTAAATGGGTCAGTTGAATTTGTTTTTGGAGGGTATTTTCAGGAGGGTCCGCATTATGCAACTCTGTATATTTTAATTCACTTAGTATTGTTTGTTTGGATCTTCCCATCGATGTGTTTAGGACTGCAGCTGACGAGTCCCAAATAGGACGAAACGCGCGTCCTGGATTCCACTGCTAGCCACTATCCATCTCTGCTTACCATGTCTGTATATTTTAGTTTGCTTACTCTATAAATTTCCTTTAATACGAAAATACTGATCGTGGAAGAGTATATATTAATATTCAATAACCGTCTAATGTTTGGCTAGATATGTCTTTACACTTACAGTCATTTTGATGAGTTTTCACTTGGTGGGTCGAAAGTGTAACTATTTTAGAGAAAAGGATGTGGGTCATACCCTGGAAGTATACATCTTACATAATTCGTATCATTTAAATTGATAACAGTAAGATTACTGACCGATCAATATTTCTCATACTCTCTTTCTACATAGTTGTTACAAACTAGTCCTCTTTTTTGCATAAAGATGCTCTCGTTATTGGTTTCTTATGAAATGTGTGTTATATGAAGTATCCATACATCATAATTCCATTTTATCTTTCGTTATTATATGTATAATTGCTTATTGATCACTTATCCAGATGATTTAAATGTTGTTTCTGAATGATATAAACAAATGCACGCTCATGCTAGGATGTTTTTGCTTTAACTGTTATTTCACAGCTTATTAAAAAGTTTCACTATGATATTTCTGTTCCTACGACTATTTAGTCATTTCAGTTTGTGATTTTATAAAGTAAACAGATAATTGAAACTATCGATTGGGTTTAGATAATTCAATTTTTAGAATAAATGTGGTTACGTTGTCAGAAAAGCCTACTGTTTAGTAACAAAGACTGTCATTCATCTTGGATGCTATAGTTAACTTACATGTACTACTAACATATTGTTTTTTTATTTCGCTATTTTTCGTGAACGTAAACCTCTATCTTGATATCTTGATGTATTTCAGTCAGTTGGTCACAACGTGGAACTTCGTACGTACGTACATCAGTTCGAGTTGCCATACCACATTAGCACAGAGATCCAGTTGTCGATTCAAATCCCATAGTGGTAGAAGTAGAAATAGTATAAGCATTAATGTGAAAGATTAGGGTTTGAAGATGTTATTGAAGGAGTATAATCCAGTGAAATAAATTTGGAAAGATAAAAAAGATAGAGACATGAAGAATTCAGAAGATGAGAATGTGGCAGAACACGAAGAGTGGATGCACCTTCGCCATTGCAAACGATTTTGAGCCATGTCATTCAAAGTCTCTAACCATCGATTGCTATCATCTCGCGAATCCCAACCAGATAGTCTACACCTACCAGCATGGCTCAGTCCAACTGTCAGTGACTTCATGGATTTGTGCCACATTTTGGTCTGGCCGCCCCTAGCTTTCTTCCAATCTACTCCTACACCATAAAACATTTCACGTCAGTGCAGTCGGTGGTTGGGCATACGTAACACGTGTTCCAGTCATCTCAATTGATGAAGTTTCACTACTTCATCAATCGATTTGCCATCCTTACCTAGTACCCGTTTCCTAACAACTGCATTGCTTACTCAGTGTTCTCAGGATATACGAGCAATGCTTCGAAGACACCTACGATCGAATCCGAATATGCGTACGCATATTTTCTACTCTTGCCGGCTATGTTTCACTGCCATAAAGTAGGACGGAACGAACTGCTGCATAGTAAACCCGTCCTTTGTTTGTTAGATGGATATCTCGTCTACGCCATAAATGACGCAAGTTGGCGAAAGCTAGACCAGCCTTCTGTATCCGTGCTGAGATTACGTCACACACCAGACCACAAGGGCTGATGAGACTCTCAAGATAAGTGAAGCGGTCAACACGTTCAACTACTTCACTCCCTATCATTAGCTCAGGTGTCGATACAACCCAATCCTGAAGTAACATTTTGCACTTCGATGGGGAGAATCGCATCCCGAACATGCCTGCATTGTTGCTTATAGTGGTCAGAAGACTCTGCATGTTGTCAGCGTCTTCACCGAGTAAAACTATGTCGTCGGTGTATTCTAAGTCAACAAGTGAATCTCCCGGTAAAAGTTCAACTCCAGGAGATTTAGATGATGAAAGTGTTATATCTAAAAGCATGTCAACGACAAAGTTAAATAAGAATGGGGAGAGTGGACAGCCCTGACGAACACCACTTGAGGTAATCAGTTCTGATGACAGTTCGCCATAGGCTCTAACTCGATCAGTTGTGTTCGAGTAGAGAGCCTTTATGAGGTTGATGTACTTCTTTGGTACTCCTTTCAGTGACAAACACTAACAGAGAACCTCTCGATCAATGGAATCAAATGCCGCCTTAAGGTCGAGAAATACTGCTATTGTGGGACGTCTGAATGTGTGTCTTTGTTCTAGGACCTGACGTAGAGTGAAAATCTGGTCTATGCAACCACGTTGAGGTCAAAAACCAGCCTGGTTTTCTCTAGTTTGCTCCTCACGAGCTGTGGTTAGGCGTCCAAGTATTATTGAAGCTAATATCTTTGACACTATATTAGTCAAACGGATATCTCGGTGATTGTCACAAGAGGACTTTTGTCCTTCCTTATAGACTGACACAATCAGTGATTGGGACCAGTCAGATGGAATTACGTCCAGTTCTCAGGTTCTACCTAAGACCTCAGTCAATCTCACTGCTAGTACTGGACCACCATCCTTAAAAATCTCAGGAGTAAATCTGTCAGGGCCTGCTGCTCTCTCTCTGAACAGTTATCTGCTGTTGCTTATTGCCGCTGCCTTTTCCATCTCTCTTGCTTTCGCTACCCACCACTGTTCGCGATCATTGCTTAGGCTTCTTATTAGTCTGAGCTTAATCTGACTCCACTCTTCGTTATGTTCAGAGCCAGATGGTATGAGTTTTCGAGCGTCTATCGGTGAATGATGCTGAGATCCAGTATTTTCCCCTAACCTTATGGTTTACCGTATTAGTTGTTTCCACAGCTTTTCGGATGTCATTCCACGCTGCCTCGTGGTGGGCACAACGTACATGGGTGCCTAACTGTTTTTCTAGTTGTTCCTGAAAGATAATTTTAGCTTGCCTATCATTAAGTAGAACCCTAAGAGGTTTCCTTGAAGCGTCTTTTCTACATCCAGTAAGACGCAGACAAATACGCGCTCCACTAGAGCATGATCTGAATCTAAACATAAGCTGCAGAATGAGCGAAAGTCTTCTATCGAATCCCTCCATCGGTGGCTGATAGCGATGTGATCTAATTGGGTCCAACGTTGGGACGAATTCGCCGGTCGCCATGTCAAAAGATGTTCTTCCTTGTACTTAAAGTTAGTATTTGCAAGAAACAGGCGCTTATCTGAGCACAGCTCCAACAGACGGTCGCCATTATCTGTTTTTTTAGCCACGACACCATAAGATCCGCTTAGGTGTTTTACCCTTTCGCTTAGTTTACCTACTTGAGCATTAAAGTCACCAACCACTATTAATACATCACAGCGCCTAGCTTTTTGGAGAAGGTCGAAGAGCTTTCTGTAAAACTCATCTTTCACATCTGAGCTGCAGTCAAAGTGGTGCGCCGGCCTTGATGTATTTATTCTCAATTATTGATTCCATGTATTCTTCTAAATCTCAGGTTGAGTATTATTCCAAAATTTTCATCCATCAATCTTAATTTCTCTTTCGGAGTTGCATTTTTTATGCCCGAATTTTACCTTGTGTTATTCTTTCTACTTGAGTTAATTTTGTAGGATTATCACATACCAACCATCATAAATTAAATAGTTTTAATCTTAATAGATTGTGTTACCAATATTAGTATAAAATATGTATATTTTATGACTAGTGGAAGTTGCAAAAAAGGAAAAATATTCTGCAACGAAGATCGATCTTTGCTTTTCGTACCTGCAAGTTCTCCATTTTATCCTGGTATTTTTGTTGTAGGACTGTACCAACTCTGCTAATTAAATGCATTCAAGAAGTAGAACGTCGAGATGGTTTGTGTTGTGAAGGCCTGTATCGTATTCCTGGAAATTATGATCTTGTGGAAGAACTACGTACTGAATTCGATAAAGGTTAGTTTACTTGAACATAATAACGTTTTGTAAATTATTCATCTTTCATATTGTTTTTCTTGCACTGTCAATTCAGAGATGTATTTTTGCACAAATGCAAATAAAGAAGTATTGACAATTGTTATGACATTATTATTATTAGTGATTTTATTCGATATTATATTTCAACGCAGAGTATTTCAATTAGTTTCGTTTTCTTATCTCCTGATTGATCTTGGCTATAAATATTGAGTGATCGCCATTTAGATGTTAGCAGTTCAGGAATCGGCATCTGAATGATGTTTATTCTTTCCAACACATATTACCAGCCACCACGACATCTCTGATTGTACTTTTTTATAACTTGCACAGCGAAAGGTTGTAAATTATTCATAAACGCACCTAAATAGGTTATGCGATTAATGGACATAATGATGTGTTATGACAAACAAAAGACAGGTAGCTTGTTAAAATATCTAAATGGCAGGAAGAGTCAACCTAGATATTCAAACAGGCCCACGATTAAGGTCACGAAGGGATTCACTGATGCATCTCTTCCTAACTAGTGGCTAAGGTCTTAAGGTTTTGCAGTGATCACTCTTTATATCAGTTGTCATTATTTCGATTCCCTGAGTTTTTTTTACCTCATGTGATAGCAATTACTTCATGGTGTCTATAACGTTTCATACCGATACACATTTTTCCTAGGTTGCACTTTAATTACAGCTGATTATTATTAACATAAAGATGTGTGAGTTTTGTGAATCATTTGGTTCACATCTCACGCTAAATGAAGTTAGACAACTATTAAGCACCAGAGAACACTGGACAATCGTTTTTTCGTTGTGTATCCCTTTCTGTTTATTGTTTGGCATATGAATTTTCTCTGTTTGATCTATCCTAGAATGCACAGAAAGGTTGTTAAACCTGATTCAAAATGTGATAGATCAACACCTTGAAATCGATCACAACTTTTTAAATAATACGTACTGCTTTACCTAAATACCTATCATAATATTAGTTATAACGCGTTTGACGTAACTTTGTTAATATAAACGCAATGATTTCACGTTAGTAGTTTTGTATTTATTATTAGCAAGAACCTGAGTTTTATTTCATTTGTAAACTTAACGTGATAACCGGATTAGTATTTATTCCTGCTAAATAAAAAATATTTTATGGAGACTAGTTCATTTTTGTTAGAGTGAATATATTACTTCAATTCTAGTGTTCTTTTTTAAAGAAAGCTATCGAATACTAACCATATGATGCAGTGGTAGTTCGCCTCACATCTCGTCATCATCGTTTGTCTACTGATCAAGTACATTTCAATATATGGTACTGATATGACTAAAGTGTCTAAGACGAGCAGTTTTGTTGTAACGAGAGAAGATGAAACAATGTATGAGTCAACGCAGTGTTTTTATTTTATTTCGTCTGTTTCAGTATACTCTTGGAATTTATCATTGTAATTGTTTAACCTGTACATATAATAATAAATTTTGAAAAGATTTCCAAAATTGGTGGTTAATTTAAATTTCAATCCTACGCAAATACATATCTATCAATTAAGCAGTTTGTTTTTAATTAACGGATTTTGTGCGTATCAATATTAGGGTGGTTATTATCGAATTGTATGTTCATCTAAAATTGAATCATATCGGTTTCAGGATCTATATATATATATATATATATATATATATATATATATATATATATATATATATATACTTGTTTAAATATCTTTCTTTTTCTCAGATCCGGAATTGGCAAATGTATCTGAGTCACGTGTTCGAGATATCAATGTTTTGACAAGTTTGATTAAATCATTTCTGCGTCAATTGCCTGTCCCATTAATCACTTATGAAGCATATCCAGATTTACTGGATGTTGTTAGTAAGTAAAAACAAAGTAACATTATATTTTAATCTCTGAATGAATAAGTAATATACACAAATATCACTTTGATTTTCGTTTGTTCGTCACTTCAGTCGAATTCATTAGAGAAAACTGTTTAAAAACTGAAACAGTTTAATCATGACTTTGTCAGAAGTGTATATTTTTATGATATACGTATGATTTACTAGGTCTTCTTAATGGACAGTGAAGTTCTTTTTAAATACCGATGACTAATCTCGTTGCTTATTTAATTATATACCATTGATTTTTATTCTCTAGCCAAATTCACTAAAGTAATTGAATGGATAAAATTTCAATACATTTTTTTCTTCTACTTTTGATCCCAATTTGTTCTTGTTCCCATGAATTAGATATGTACAATTAAATATCAAAGCAATGAGAAAAAATGTTTGAGAGTGATGCCTACTTGGTTTTTCGCTAAATGACACGGTTCACTTTGTTATAAATTTTCATGTTAACTAGCTAGAAAGGAAAGCAGTCACGGGTTCATAACGTTGTTTGGAACAATTATGAAATATTGTCAACCCAACCTTTCACCTTAGCAAGAATCCAACATCATCAATAACGAAAGAACTCGATACAATATTAAGTTACTTCAAATTCCCAAGACACAAGTTGATTTGATTTGTTGAAATTTTCAATGTTATCTGAAGCATTGTAATTAGTGAATAAAATATTGTTCTAAACTGCAATAGTAAAAGAGTTGAATGACTGACATCGTAAATCTGTTACAAACTAAACCTACTCTCTTAAATGCTTGTCAGTTAATGATTTTATCCTGTTACTTCCTTGTTGTCCTTACCCTGACGAATTATCGTACGCAAAAAGACATACTGACAAAACATGTTCAAATTGGCCCCCAAATACTCTGGTATGACTGAGAGTGAGCGAAGTCAGCTCTCCCTCTCGAAATGCTCTCACATGGCCACACGTATACAGCTACTACCGGGGAAGTCCTCACTGCCTTCTCGTGGTGTGAGTCTTTACGAAATTAAGAGGACGAAAAGCGGATGTCCGGTGTCTTAACCCGGTTGGTGGGGAGTTGGAAAACCCTAATTTCAAACCAGTGGTGCAAATGGGCTCGAAGATCCTGGGGAAACAAATGGCATCTCAACCTATCGTTGATCACCGGCTATCATGGGACCGCATCTCCTTACGTTGCTTCACTGTCTTGTGGATCAGACATTTAGGTCAAAGGTTCCGCCTGTGGTCCCCTAAGGAAACCACCTCCTTCGGTTTGGGTACCCGGGCACTATTTCAGCCGTCACAGAAATCGAGTGATTTATGCGGCGCATATGTATTTAGTGTCTTTTTGTATCAAAGTTTATGTTTTTAAATAAACAATATCTCAACCCGCCCAGTTAGTAAACGTACTCATATTCGTTTAGAATTTAGAAGGTATTTCTGAATTAGATCTGTGTTAGTGTGTTACTAGGTGATACTAGATACTGATTTTCAATAGCATGTGGTATTTAGTAAAATCAAATTATCTTTGCATCATATAAAATCTTCCATCATTTCTTCTAACCACTCGTCTAATTAAATGACTATTTAAACTATACCAGTGAGCTTAATCATTCATTTGTTTGTTTTGGCTTTTAATGAATCTTACTTCTCTTAAAATGGTCTTTGACCTGTTCATTATTATTGTAGAGTACAGAAAAGATTTTTTAAAAATCTTTTGGTTGGTCGGGCTTCTTTGTTATTTGACTTTTTCTTACCCCTATAAATTGTTCTATTTTTTGGTTAATGACTGATAAAACTGGTTTAACTTCCGCATATTTATTGCAGAGTTTAAATGAACATACTCAAGGGGATTTGATTTTCAATCTTCTAAGCTCTCATATCTTCAGCATTTATATCTTTTTGTAAGACAACATGGATATTCATTTAGACAACTAATATTTCCAGACCTGATCATGTGACTTCCGAGATTCCCTGTATAGAGAAATTGTAGTCTACTTTTTTTCGTTTTTTTGCTCTACATTTCATGCCATTATCATGTGCTGTTGCTTTTTTTCGAAAAAAAAACAGTCAAAATTACTGAAAATTTAGCGTTTTTTTTCTTTTTTTTTAAATGGACGATTAAATCGATATCATCTCTGGCAAGTATTTTTCCATTTCAATTTCGGATCACTTTTATTTGGTTATTTGTTCGATGATGTATGTGTATGAACAATTTGATTCAATAAACTATTAGTGTTAAAGTGGATTGCGTAGTTAGAAACAATTCAAATATGCCTTTCTTTCCATATTATCATTAGAAATGGTTTGAATTTTGTAGTTGTTATTCATGAGTGAATTTTTGATCAGCCTTTATTGGCATATATGGATCTTGTTTAGAATATCTATTTGGTCACACGTTTTATAAAAGATATATGGATTTAAACTAGCAGTAATATATGTGCTGCATGCTACTTAAGTTGACAAATATAAGTACTAAGTAGCAGCAATTTTGAAGTAGAATACCCTGCGGCAGAAGATTGAATTTAGGAGAACAGGAAGTAAAACGGAGAGCAATTATAATAACAACAGAAAGAGCAACTAAAGGAAGATGTCCTAATAATATATTCAATGTATGGTGTTCACATTTTACGAAATCACTCAGTAATTTTACATCAAACAATAGATTGGTTTTGTCTTAGTAACTAAATGGGTAACGTGACGATGTTTAAAGCAAACGATATTGGATTCGAGTCTCGTAGTGAACATCAACTGTGGTATGCAGGTACGTTTATCTGACAAGTCCTAAATCGGACAAAACTTACGTTCTGGACTCCATTATTAGCCACCATCTTTTTCTACTCAAAAATACGATTATCTCTTTTCTTCAAGAAATCTAATAAAATTAATTTATTTCTAGTTAACATATACAAATTTATGTTTGTGGTAATGTTTCTACAGTATGTATGTAAGTTCGAATTAACTAGATCGTCATCGACGTTTTAGTTTACTTGATATATATTATATCGATTTACCACCGAGACATTTAGTTTATTGACACTGAGTATTTGTCTTATAATATTGCTAGTACATAACAAATACTGATAATTGAGACAAGTTAGAAATTTTGTTTTTCTAGCGATTAGTGGTCTGCTTGGACATCTGGTCTACCTGTGTCTTCCCTCTAGGTATCTCAACAAGTTTTCTGTTTTTGATAGTTTTAAGACATCATTATGTTTATTAATCTCACAACCTATTAAGTTGCGTTTATGAAAAGTTTGCAACTTTCCTCTGTACAAGTTACAGAAAAGCCTAACCAGAGACATCGTAGTTGCTGGCAGTGTGCAGCGAAAAGAATGTATATTATTTAGATGTCGATTCTTAGACTGCTAACTTTTAGCTGGCGACCATTTAATATTTGTCGTCAGGATCGGCCATAAAGTAAGAATTGGAAACTTGTTGAAATACTTTGTGCTAAAAATTCCATATTGTACCAAAATATAATATTGAATAAAGCTAATAATAATTTATTGGCGCATATTCTGAACATTCTCCTATTATTGGTCTACTTAGATCTGTCAAATTCGCCATAGCTTTGGATGACTATATGAACAATTATAAATTAACAAAAGATAATTTGGTTTTATACATTTCCTACAAGTAATTTGATTTGATAGTATTATTATGCTTGATTATTGACTAGAACATTTATATATGCGCTTACGTATTTGAAAAAGATAAAGAGCAATTAAATTCTGCCCAAGTATATGTTTACGTGTATTCTTTTTGTATTTGGAATTTTCGTATTCTGCATCTTTTACTTTTATTCTCTACATTTTGTATGTAAAAAGATGAAGTGATAATAATGCATACTTTAAAAGTATGTATATGTGAGAATCGTGGTCTTTATTCTATGCATTTCACATTTGTACCACAATATTTTTTTTCGATTCTTTTGGATATTAGACAGAATCCATTTATCAATCAATATTGTTATTACTTTTGACTTAACTATATATGAAGACAAATGTAAAACTATTTTAGTATTTTTCCTGTTCGCTTTTTGCACAAATCATTAAATTTAACTTCTTTCAGTCTATCTTTGTGTGCAAATTTTCTGCGAAAACTAATTTCTCTGTTTTTCGGGAAATAATCTAAAAATGATATTCTGTCTTCGTACTGTATAAAACAGAGAGAAAATATAAAAAAACAATCTAATTTGAAAGTGTTTCTGCTCGTGTGTGTGTATCTGGGTCTCTATATCTTGTTTATACTACTATAGTAGTATGAAGAATATCACGTTTATTAACCTTTTCTTTCATTCATTATTTCCCTTAAGTTTTTTTGGAAAAAATATATTCTATTGAAAGTTTTCTGTTTATGTGTCAAGAAGTTTCCACTCAATTAAAGGGTTATGAATAAACCAAAACATAAAAATCTAATAAGCCGATTCTTTTCTAATGAATTTTTTATAATCATAATATATTTGAAGTGATTTAATAATACAGTGTCAGTTTAAAAATTTGTTATATTTTCTTATTGTAAGAATGTTAGTGCATACAACTTTCAGTTGATTTTAGGGTATTAGATTGAGTTTTACAAAATGACTGCGTCAAGCTGCGGTCTACTGGTTATGGCATTCAACTTTTGGCTAATAAATGCCTGGATTGAACACCATTTCATTTAATGCAGTTTGAGCAACCGGGTATTATCATTAGTTCATTTCCAATTTCCAGTTGCATAAGTTAATTGAATTTTAAACAGTGACTGTGTAGAGATTTAATGCTCACTTACTGTCATACGTTCTAATTGTATTTTTGAGCTATTACAATCTGACAAACGTGGCGATACCATTAATTGACCCAATACTGAGGTGCATTTCTAATGCTACAAATAAAATACCATTAACATAGAGCCTGAATTGAATTAAGTTGCTATGCCATATTAGCAGGACAAGATGAAAATATTGAGAGATATATAAATACTATGGTAGAAATGACAAAAATGAATAACTTTGGAAATATGGTTCAAAAGACAGTGTGGCGAAATATGATACTAGAATTCCAGATCTGTGATAAGATAGCAAGGGAATACATCAATAGAATTGCATAAAAATTTCAAACAAGGTCCTCAAAATCTCCAATCACTGATCGTTGTTATCACACAGATTCTAACCAGGTGGTCTGCTACTAGCATATCTCAGACCAATAGTCACTTTTTATGAACCTATGCTACGTTTTGGTTTAGTTGCCTCAAGGTCTATTCCAAACTGCCTCCGGATTAACAAGCATCACCGTTCGAGGTAACAGTGGTCAGGCATACATAAGACTTGTTCTAACAACCTAAATCAATGAAGATTTACATTTTAGATCGATTTTTAACAGATTCTCGTAGAATAGAGTCATGGACTTTAAGAATTCACACTAGTTCTTAATTGATCGATTACCTTTAGATTGTTTTTCGCTGTCATCTTTGTTGTTATATGGAATTTCTATCAATAAACCAAACTGTATAAATGAAACTTCACGTTTCTAAAACCAAACATCAAAATGACTAAATAGTTAGACAAGAGCGGTTATCTTTATCGGTTGCTACAGAACGCTTTTCACATCAATGTTTTATATCACGGCATTATTCATTAAGTCAATTTTTAGTACCCTATCCCACTAACTTCATTTCAGTTCTCTAGGTTTAAGGTTGTCTACCCTGTACACATAAAATGTAGACCGAAAAGTTTTATACATTATCATCATTATTTATTTCAGTAAGTTTTTTTAAATTCTAATCAGTAGTAGATAGTTTGACTTCAGTCAATTGATAATTATTTTATCTATTCAAAATCTAACTAGATCAAGCTGTTGTTTTTATTCAGTTTTATAAATGTACTAACGTTGATAATACTTCTATATATACACTTCATTTGTAGGAGATGATCGACTTAATGAACAAGAAAAATTGGATATGTTAAGAAAAATATTTGCTCGCTTACCCGGTGCCCATTATGAAAGTTTGCGTTATTTTATAAACCATATACACAGGTAATAATGAATAAACACTTTTTTTAAAAAGTTTAAATTGTTAATACCGTAATGATACCAGGGTTCCATTACTTAATATATTTTCAAGCTTTTTTGATGTATTATTCACTTGTTGATCATATTATATCCTTTTTCACTTTGTCACCACCTCAAAATCCTACGAGCATGGATACCCTTCTCGTTTTCATTGTATTATGGAAAATGAGAGGTTTTTTATCAGAATGAAGGCTTTCAATACAAACTACTCATATTTTCATTTATTAGGTGTCATCATCAGTATGTTCTGTCATTAATTGTCTGAGTGAGGTTACCAATGAACAGATGTCTATCAAAATGAAGCATAACTTAACATAAGGAAAGTTGGATTACATAGCTCTGTTAGGAAACCTGTATATAATATGCAATCCGAAAAGTACAGAAAAATACTAGCTAACTTGCTAAAGAATGAATAACCGTGTAACGTGTCAGGCACGAAATCAACTGTAAAAACTAACAAATAAATTTTCTAACTATAGATAAAAAGTCACATACTAAAAAGACAGTTTTTTTAAGAATAAGGGAAGGGTGAACTTAATCTTCTTTCGGTATTGTGAATTACATTCACAATCACATTCAGCCAAACTAAAATCCAATTAGAAACGTTAGTTTCTGTACTGTCTTAGAGTTGGATTTTCAAATTAGTGTTTTCCCATAGTCAATACTACTCATTATCAATGATTGTAACTGAAACTTCCTTATCAAAAGCTCAACAATTTCGGTAAACAAAATAGATGTAGAAGCTGCCAAAATACGTAATTAAGTTTGTTTATGCGTTATAACTATTCAACTAGTGTATATTATACCCTCATTAATATAGTTTGTTTAAAATTGGTACATAATTAAAAGTTTGATGTTGAAATATTCATTTTTTAAAATATTTTTTACAGAGTGGCTGAAAAACAAGATGTGAATATGATGACTACAGCTAATTTAGCTATTGTCCTATCACCTACTCTACTGAGTTCATCTTATACTGATCCTATAAGTTGTTTAGCTGGAACACTTTTTGAACATACCTTAATAGAATTACTTATAAAACATTGTACTTATTTACTTCCATCAAATGGACGATGGTTAGCTAGTAGACCTACTGAATTAGCCGACAATGCAATCCATTCACCATCCCATCGTCATAGTCAAATCATTACCAATAATAATTTTACTCCACCAGCCACTACGGTATCACCACCCAGTATACCATCTTATAAGAAATGGAATTTTTTAAGAAGTCGATCATCCACAGATACCCGTACAGTGCCAACTTTATCACCTATCCCGTGAAATTGGATGGAAATTTCATCGATCTCTTTCTTCGTCTGTCTGCAGATAATTTCTGTGTCAGTATGAATAAATTATTGTGTAATATTATTTTTTTTACTACCTATCTTACCACTATATCGTTCTCTAATTGTTCTGTATCAACAAATATTTGTTAACACATTCCACCATTTTTTTCGTATAACTTTTTGATTATGTCCATTTTTTGCATTTCACAAAACGTCTGGTTCTTAACAAACTTGTACACATATATTTGTTCTTTTCTCGAATTCCATAATATTTGTGTGCTCTTGGTTTAGAGAAATCATTCATAAGTGATACTTTTATTGTCTTCCAGCTTTTCTTTCTTTAATCTACTTCTTTAAACCATCTAAATGCGGACAATATATTTTTGAGTTTATATGGCCACTTAAAAGCATATTTATATAGATATAGCGTGTTTCTAACAGCTGATTGTGTATTTCTATCCTATCCTATTGTTCAACTCACTATCTTTAAATATATGCTTGTTGTTCAACTCTTATTATATGGTGATTATGCTGAGACATCTTTAAAAATTATTTAATGATAAACTTATATGATGGTACCATTTTTATTTGATTTTTATAAATAGGACTGATAAAGCAATACAAGAAAAAAAAATAACAGTTTGTACATATACATATACCTGTATTAATAAACTGTGTTTTATAAAAATAGCCCATTACCTGTTGGGTTATTAGATAGTGAAGGTTAGATAATCTGTTTTTTGAGTCCATATCTCGTCATGTTTACCTGACTCACTTGTTCACATCTTTTCTGTCAACTTAATTCTAAACGGTGAATTGGTACCGTTAACCTTCGTATGGTAGATATGTTTAATGAGTCAACGATGATGTTCATGGTTTCTGTGTTACAAGTGCAAAACTTTAAACATTTCCGTCCCAGTATGAAATATAAATTTAGGTGACCAAACCCAAAAAAGAACAATTATAGATTCACTGCTTTCTTTACATTACCGTTAACTGTTTTACGCAGTTTTTGCGCACAGTCTCAACTTGACTTTTTTGCAGAGCATTGTTTATTAACTTTGAGAATGAATGTAGAGAACTTGAAATGACTTTCACTTATTAATTAATTAGTCAGTGACTGTCACCTATATTACGTCCAGCGAGTTATTTTTTGAAAATTTGTCAGACATACATAAAAGTCACCATACCTTATACGATAATAGAAAAATCTCTGTACATCAACCATATTTCATTATGTCCACTGTTTCTCCATACTTCTACTATACGTACTTTAAACAAGTATAACCATCATAATTCCAGCTTCGTGGTATCTTTTTGTTCTTTTCATTTGTATGAAACCGTCCAAAAAATAATTTCAAGTTTCTGAAATTTACAAACAGTTGTGCATTTTGAAAGTTAACAGTGTGTTCCCCATCATGTATGATGTTAACAGCTGTAATTTATTCATAATCATTTCTTCTTTCTACAAAAGTGAATTTTTATTCCATTATGTTGTAAATAAAATTAAATCCAAGCAACAGATGGCTGAATATTTTTTTACTGTATTTGAATAATCACTGTTTGACAGGAAGATATTTTTCTCTTGTCAAACAATAAATTTACCGACTGATCTGAACATAGTAGAGTATACAGTTATTTATAAGTTTTGTAAATCGATGTCTTACAGCACTATATATATATATATATATATATATATATATATATATATATATATATATATATGTCATATGACAATGTGGGTGCCTTTTACTACGTAAATCTTGAAACTTGACGATGTATGCAGGATACTATAATCAAGTATATCTCCATCCATTGAATAACTGGTTGGACCTATGTGGAGTCTGAAAGACTAAGCAGTTCCTGTACATTCATATTGAAGTTCAATAATGTTTAACCTACAAATTTCTCATAAGTGACCAACTCGATCGGTTCAGTTGACTTCGAACTTAATGTACATCTGGTTAGTATGTGATTGATAACATAAATCAATAACTCTATATCAGCACATCTATGGTCAGAAACACTATCACCCGAGGTAAAAACACATTGGACAGACAGCCTAGTTTATCATTATTTGAATATTTCAATTAGAATTTCTATTCCATAAAATTACACACCAAAATAACCTAGTGACTATCTCTTATTATTACCACAAAACTGTGGCATAACGAATTTTAAGCTTTGATCAATCAACCTAACAAACTCCTTGATAGTTTTTATTTTTTACTTAGTTCATAAGACAACAAATTGTTTTAATATACTATTATTTGAAAACAATAATATTATTTATGCATAGTCATCGTGACATGATAACGCATTTAATCAGCGGAGTTAATAATCTGACCTGGTCACAATAAGGGTACTCTTGAATCAATAATTCTATTTATTTTAATATAAACTACCTTATAACTAACTAATTAGTCATTAATATTCTATCCAACTATGACTACTGATACTTTTATTATGTTCAGGTTTTTTTATCAATAAAAATATTTGAAATCAATGATCATCTCAACTCCATTCTTTTTATAAATGAAGGGAACGTGCACCGAAATCTCCACTACAACCTAACTCAACAACAGATAATAATTAGTAAAGCACTGAGCAACAATTCGAACAGAATAATATGAAGTCACTTTTGTTTTCTAAATTTTAATATCAAAATTTACGTTCAAGTAGTTGATTCGACAAAGAAGAAAACATTCACAATAATATTGATAACAAAAATATTGCTTAGTTAAAAACCGGAGTTATAACATTAATGATTGAAGTAGCCTATCTATAGGATTACCAAATGAATATACACTGTATTATAATTTACAGAATCATACGGAAAAGAGTGAACAAGAATGTTAGAAGAGTCCTCTATCAGTTGCAATAAGCGCTCAATCAAGCCCATTTTGATGTTGAGTAAGATTCTCTTAGAAAAATCTTGAACACCAGAATAAATCACTAGTGAAAAATTTTCTAGATACACATTTCTCAATACAACAAACATATTCTTATTGAGTATGATGTTTGGAATAATATGTATAAGAAATATTACACACACTTTCTAGAGTAACATAACTATGGTAAATAGTGCATGAAACATTAGGATTTTTTGCTTAATTCTTCTCCACGTGTACAAACTTTCTGTACTGCATCCATAAGTGTAGCTCGTAGATTACCTTTCTCCAAAGCATAAACACCTTGAATTGTTGTCCCGCCAGGTGAGCAAACATCATTCTGTATAAACACATAAATATTTTTTAATAAAAGGAAAACTGTATAATATAATCATCCCGACAAAACTTAAAATAGAGTTAGCAATATTTTGAAAATGAAAGTTTTGTCATAAAACACTACAAACTACTTTTCATCAAAGAAATTTCCTTTTGGCATCCTTAAATGGGATTATTTGTTTGAGGTTTACGATAATCTATATATTTGAATTGTTCAAATTCTTAATTTTTCCAAAATCCTTAGATTTATGGGTCAATGGTTATGCTAAACTTCAATAGTGTTATAGATATGTTAGTGACCGACACATTCTAATACCATACATCTGAGAAGGTTATTTTTCCTTGAAATAACTGGAAGGATGAAATTGGTATTAGTAGTTTTATCGATCATGCAACGTGACTGTAAAGACCAGAAACACAACTCCCTGATACCGATTATAATTAAAATTTCTTTAATGCTAGGTTTTTGCATAACTTTTTGGGACGCTAATGCTTTAAATGGAGATCCATGGTAGTAAAATGTATTCTACTTTGGGAACAACTAAATCTAACTTTGTTCAGTGAGAAAGGTGAAAATACCGGTTAACCGTGAGGAACAATAATGCCATTAAGTCCCAGGATATATAATAGTTCAGCTAGAATATTTTTCTCATTTTTGATGCTTAATAATAAAATTACAACTTATGGTTTGATTTTTATCAAGTTGGAATAAACCTATATAGACTAATCAAAGAAGTAATGTAAGCAGATTCAAGAATACACTACATGAAATACAAATCACAAAAAACTCAATACATTTCAATGAAACTATTTTACAATATTTGTTTAAGAGTAGTGGTTGGTAGAAAATTGAATTTCCATTGAAATCTATTATAAAATGTAATTAGTTAAAAATATAATCTCTACTTCTTTGGTTTACTCAACGTATAGAAGTTATCGTGAGAATCAAATTAAAATCTAACATTAGAACCTCTAAAAAAATTTGTTAACTAATAATTTATCCAGTTTAAATGATATGATAATTAAAAACAACTGTTGGGATGATCCTGAAAATTTCTCACAATAGACATGGCAAGCTCAGGAAACATTAAGAAGCATTTTATCCAATCAGCGTTTAATTAGAAATATCGCGAAAATGAAAAGTCACATGTAGAGGTTCTGATTGGATGATTACTACACTGCTACTATGTTTAGTAGTATTATAGAATTTTCAGGAAAACCCAAGGACTTTTAAAATACTATAAAAATCCTACATTTTATGTACATAAATGAACCTATGGAGTAAAGTGCTTCTCGCATATTTTGCGCCTTTTCTCTCGTGTTCAAGTCACTGTGTAGTTCTAGCTTGGGGGTTACGAGATTAGCTTAGGATCCGAATATAGCGTTCAATTAACAAGACTTATCAACAACATATTGCATAAGTTATTAGCTGATCTCATTGATATCGTTTTGATAAGTTCAAGTTATATTCTAAATGTTTCATTACTTTTATTGATTTTTCTTTTGTAATCATCTTAAATGATTTCTAAAAGATTAATTATTGTTAGGCATAAACTGTGTTGTACATAACATGAAAACTGAATTTAATCAGTTGTGATTATGTGATATAGTTTTTTTTTCATTTTTTAAATAAAGATCAAAGCATTGTTAAAGTAAATTTTCACCACATTTATGGTATAAAGAAAGATCTTTTATCAAAGATACTTGAATTGATAAATTGAGTCACTAAAGAAAACTGTGCCCTTATTACATCGTTTTGATATACACTAATTATTATTAAATAATGCTAGTACAACAACACATATGCTTAATTTGTAATTTAATTGACTAAGAACGTTTACTGTTTCAACTTGTAAAGCTTGCACTCTATCGTAATCATATACATAAAATAAATGTAACCATAGTTTACTTTTAATTCAGTTGTATTTTTGCCTGTTTTTTGCATCATTAGAGCTGAGCCTAATATAGTATTGACAATTAGTTTCTGTGCGATTGGGCGTGGTAAACCTAATAGAACACCAGCATCTGTAATTGCTTCAGTAATCATATAAATCTATGAAAAGAAATGAGGAAAAAGAGTAGACAAACAAATAAGAATTATACATTTGAAAATGAAATTATAGTTTCAGATAATCAATGAAAAAAGGAATAAGATAGTTATTAGGTGATAATGATTTGAATTTAATAACAATGATAACATGTACACATTCTTGTTAATGATATTTTGTGAAGATTAGTTTGTAGGTGGTATTTATTACAGATTGAACTTAGTGGGGAGGGTACATGAGAAAAGTGAGAAGCATAACTGGACAGATATTTCGTCCTAGTATAGGATTCCTCAGTAAGGCGTACCTATAATCCTGCTATGGACTGAAGTAATACAAGAAAGAAATAGTCATCTAATGGGCCCTGGTTTTCAACATTATTGGAACTGAGGACTATTAAAGACGAAAACTATACAATGTAGTATAATGTTATATATACATATATATGGCAACTCGACTTGATGTACGTACGTACGAAGTTCTACGCTGTGACTGACTGATATATATATATCACTATTCGATAACTGGATTACGTAATATCTTAAGGAATCCAAAAGTTATCTACTTTTAGAATATAAACTATTTCAGCAATGATCTTCAGAATCTGTTATTAATTGATTAGTTTCATTTAAATGAATGGCTTTTGTTCAGGAATAAATTAACTCATAATATTTTAAAATTAGCTAGTACATAACACTTTTATGGTTATATTTCAGACAATTATTCTTTGCTTATTCTGGAAAATAAACACACACACCCACATATGTAATATTATGCAACAAAAGTAATTGAAAACGAATCTCGTTTACACTGAGAAAGTAACATTTATGCAAACAATGAATGGATAGTTGATCATTAAATGAATTGAAATGTTATTAGGCTACAAAATTATGCATATTTATGAATCATAAAATATGTTTTTTTGTGTTTAGAAAATCAATTCATCGTGATTAAGTATGACTCGAATAAAGAATATGTGACAATTATGAAGATGGTGAATACAACAGTTACTTGAATTAGTAATACAGACATAATAACGATTTTAGCAACAACAAAAAAGTGGAGATAATAATGAACAAACGTCTTGTAATATATAATGTAGGTAACTAATAAACTACATAATAATACGCACATTGTAGAGTTGATACTTTGGGTGTTTTTTGTCACTCAGCAAAAAAAAAAACAGTAAGAAGTAGAGAAAGAACTTTCAAGATAAGCATCTTTCATAAAAAATAAAAAGTCAAATGTAGATTTATATTTTTTTCTATCTGTTTTTAATAAGGATGCTGGAAATTGTTATATCTTGTAGCTGAGTGGATGCCCAGTTAAGGTATGACGTGATAAACCGCCAATCAGAGAGCAGCGAATTATCGATTGGAACAGTGACACACGAAAACTGTACGAGCAGTCTAGAGTGCTTATCGATCTCGCTTATGCCTAGCCCAGCCAGTTAAGTTCAGAACACCAATAACAGCCTCTACGGTATGAATCCTTGTATTTCAAACATACTGACTTTATATACCAAACAGACTGACCACATCGTGCCAAGAAAATAGAAAATAACATTTGTACAAGAGTTAGCCAAATGTGACTGTGAATAAGGGGAGCAGTAATTGATGGACTGGGTATAACTCAGGAATGGTAAATCGTATAATAATAGTCTAAGGGTCAAAATAAAGCTCACAATGAAAGGGACGTGAATGTGAATAGTTTCATTATTTAGTAAATATATGATAAAAATTATATGCATAATATTGGTCCATAAATGTATCCCAAAGTTACCATTCATTAATGTTATCGGGATATAACAGAAATAAAAGTACTATGATTATGTAATGTTCATTAAATTTGTTTAAAATAGCCATTGAATACCACTTTTTGGATTAGTTTTCATAACAACAAATTCAAGGATAATACTTGTCAATTGAAAAGAAACTGAATTGTGAAGAACTTATCCTAAGAATTTTAGTTTAAATTATGTAATCCTTCATCTAGATCCGTTCTGTCCATTACCTAATAATAAGACAATTTTTGTCTGAATACAGTAATTTTGAAATGTGATGATAAACAGGAAGTAATAATTTTTCGATAAGTAGAATTTTATAAACCAACACAGAATTAAGCCAATAGAATCATTTAGGATATTTAAAAAGTTGATGAAATTTTGTAGGATTCAGAAATATGAACAATTTGAATACAGTCAAATCATTAAGATGATGCGTGTGACTTACATAAATCATTGATAATGCCAGTCATACCAGTGGGGAAAATACGTCATCAATAGAAATTTACTGCTAATAAATGTATGTCTATTTGTGAGAACCTATTCAAAGTACACATACAAGCCATCATACGTTCAATTTTGTATTGGTATTGACATTTATTCAATTATTTACAAGGCCAGCGACTAACCTATTCGATTTTAAATAATTCTTTCTGTCTACAATATAAGAAAATCCCGTAGGGATTCTTTGTCTCCAATAAAATTACATTGTAGAAAATAAAAAACATCGCTAAACAATTTCTACACCTCTACACTGTTCCCAATGTAAATAGACAATTACTTTAGATCATTTTTTTTGCAAAAATAATAGTTTCTACAAAATACAAAACATTAGATAATATACTTTTTAATTACTACTTAATAACCAATGAAACAAAGCAATGATTTGAATAGTAAACATAATTATGTATATTTCAAAGTTGAAATCATGAGTCAATTGAAGCTAGATTTCAACTTTGAAATATACTGAAATCTCCACAAATCCCCTTCTGATTATAATTATGTATCCTTGAAATATTTTGGAGTGAGACACGTGAAACGATGCCTTAAGCAACATAGTATAATAACTAGTGATTTTAGCGATACGGTCAACTTTACAATTCAATCTCAGTCGGTAAAAGAAATGAAAAATAATGCTTCATTCTACCCTGCTTACATATTTTCATTAGAGTTATATCAGCCTCCATCGTATGAATCATATACTTCAGACATACGTAGTTTATATACAAGCAAACCAGACTACATCACATCAAAAATTGCAAAATGATATTTGTACAAAATTAAGTCAAAAGTACCTGTTAGTGTGGGAGATTGTAGTTAATAAATTGAGAACAAATTAGGAATGGCAAACCGCATAACCGTAGCCGGTAGATCAAATAAAAGCTTGTACTTAAATATTTAGGACTTACTAGAAATGTACAACACAATAAACCTGTATAAGCCCACGAACGTAGAGGAAGTGAAGTGGATACATAAAGTCAGAATAACAGTAATATCACTCCCCGATTGACTGCTGAAATTGAGGTGAGTGATGTGGTATTTAAAATCCAGATCTATTTGTTAATGATTTAGTGTATAGTTAATTTCAAATGAAACAACTTTAGAAAGACCGTTAAGTAATCGTGCATAACTGTTAATTAACGTTTAGTTAATGTCTAAACGGTCATCAATCTCCTGTATAAATGGGATGTTTTTCAAGACCGCTATCCATTTGGAAATATTTTTTGGAATATTAGAAAATAAAGACAATAAACTTGGAAGTATTCACATAGTTTAGGTTAACAGTAAATAAATTTGTGCAATGATGTCGTATGTATTGGTTGTTTGAATATTTCTGTTAATGTTATAGACTGTCAATGATCAGTCTCTTTTGACAAACGTCTATCTTGTGCGGATCATTAGATCACACAGATTTGAAGCAGAGATGGATGGTGGCTAACAATGAAATCCTGCACGCGCGTTTTGTCTGATTTCGGACTTTTCAACTGAATGTACCTTGATCCTACAGTTGATATTCACTACGGTATTTGAACCCAGAAGCGTTTATTCGAAACTCCATCGCGCTGTTCACTTGGCTACTGAGTCCGAATAGTCACTCGATCCTGTGATAGGGTGAATTTTAATTTATATGAATTGGGTTTTTGAATATTCCTCTCGACATTTACAACGGAAATTGATCAGTCCCTTTTAATTTATATGGACTCAATAGCTAGGTGGATAACGCAATGGCGTTTGAAGCAAACAGTACGAAGTTCGAGTCTGGGAGTAAACACCAACTCTGGGATGCATGTAATACTAACTGATGAGTCCCAAATGGGACGAAATGCATGTTCTGAATTCCACTGTTAGCCATCGCCCAGGTTGCTTAAAAACATTACACAGTAACTTTACAAATATTTTAAAACGTAGTTGCATATGTCGATAGATTTGAAAGTTGTTCTCTGTGCTATATATATGTTATTATCTGAATAACAATGGAAAACAACATAATGACTGTTATAATTCATTATCCATATAAATAATGCTAATTAACCATTCAAACTTGCGTCTGACAACATCATAAATGGTTTATTTTGATATAACAACTATTAAACATCAATTTACTAACAAAAAACGTTAATCAATATATTATTATTATTTCACATAAAGTGATAACATCCAGAGAGAACTGGTAACAAGCTGTCAATCATTTCGAACACAAATACATGCTAACATAGGTATCAGGTCTTGAATTGGGGTTCATGCATAAGAAAGATAACCATGATCAATGCACACATAAGTTGTAATAAAAAACATTGGTCAAAATGGCTAATATACAGATTGATATACGCCGATACATTAAGTGAACACAATTTTTGTTTGTTGCTTTAGTTACATTTGGTGATAGGGGAAAGACTGTAGTGAAGTATGAAGAAAACTCTTGAACAACGGAAGAATTCTAATACATTATTGATTTTGTTCATCACTGTAACCTTTTAAATACTGTCCATCCTAATTTAATTGCTAAAAAACGCACAACTGATGTTTTTTCCTAAATTTTAGCCGACTTTAATTGGGACAAGATGTTTTATATTTCGGTAAGTAATAAGAAAAATTTAAAAAGAAAGCAAATTTGCTTTTCATTCAATCTTTAAGCCAGATAATGAATAATATGACAAACATACTTTGTAAAATATTTTGTTTTCTCAAATCATACACAGTAAAGCGATGGGATTACTAGTGTTG